AAAAAAAAAAAAAAAGCAAAAACGACGAAGTGTCCGGTTGAAACTTGGAGGATCCGATACGTATCTCATACCCATACCCATGTCGTGTCGTATCCGACATGGGTATTCCAACTATTTCGAAGAGTCCGAGCATCAGAGAATGTAAGATATCAGATTAATTACCGTATGCAAATTCTCTAAGAGTTAACTTGTGCCAAAGTTATGAATTCACCTCATAAGTCGTTATAAACCTAGCACATATGAACTCTTTTCATGATAACCTGCCCTTTCCTCAATTTTTGTACAAGGTTGCTATTCTTTTAGCATGAATACTTTAAAATTTTCAAAGGGGGAAAGTAACTCATTAGAAAAGGCAACGAGCCTCTGACAATGCATTTTACTGGTCCGAAATTGATTTGTGGGCTGTTGTCTTTATATCATACAGGATAATAGGGTATCTCATTATGTTCAAACTGTGCAAAGGAAGCAAGGTGAAGTTAAAACACGCTCAAGCATCACCTGCACCCCGTAGAATCTTTAGAACAATCCAAGAAGACAGAGATATCATAGACCTTGTTATCCCCAAGCTCCTCGAGTCCAGCTTTCTCCATTTTGAAAAATTATCTCGACCTAAGGCATTGTCAAAGTTTAACTTTTGAGTCCATAAAAAGCAATTGCAAATAAATTAAAGTTTGCATCAAACCAAGATTATTCACTGATAAGTGGTAAGAGTATTAGTTAATTCAAGTTTGAAGGAGAGAGAGCTCTTTTATCAAATAGGGTAGTTTCACTATAGAAATGGACTATCAGAACAGAAACCATACGACTCGAAAGTATGCCGCTAAAACAAAGGATACCATCTCAGGCATAGCCAAAAGCCTTTTCTTTCCTCTCCTTTACAGTCGAGCTACTGACGTTAATTCTTTGAGTTAATTCACATTTTTTTACTAGAAGTTGATTTTGGGTTATCAACAAGTAACAAGTGGCATTCAGTAACCCGAAAAATGTTTTCACTTCAATCTAAAAAGAAAAATGCAAAATAATGATATCCCGTCAAGACAAAAAGAACAGAACAGACTTAGCCTAAGGGATGAACCAGAAGCCGAACCCATATCACCAGATGATCGAAGTTGACACCCTTCTTCAGTACAGGTACCTTTAAGCCTCTGAAACAAATGCAAAATCCCATAAGTAGTACTCTCGGCTCGACAAAAGTGTTGTGAACCAAGTGTTCGAACGAATGTTTGAAAGAAAACATAATAGTTTGAAGTGTAAACCTTGAGAATGAGAAAGGGTTTCCGTGTATAGAGTAACGGCTTGCTTTTGGCGGGTTGTGATAATGCCATAAGAAAGATCGGCCTATTATGGCTGCTTTGCTAGTGATGAACTGCCAGATTGCCAGTGGAGAGTTTACGAGAGAGCGATCGAGTAAAAAAAAAATTCTCAAAAGAACACAAGCCACCAAGCATAGCCTAGGCTTCACCAACCCAACCAAATTTGGCAATTTTTATATAAGCTCTCGTTTGGTTTTTTGTTAAAAAAGTTTTTTAAAAAAATTTAAATTAAAGTCAATAATTAATTTTAATCATAAAATTTATAATTTTTCAACTACAAATTTTATTAATAGTATCAAAATCTACAAAAAAAAAATAGAAAAAAAAATTTGTTTTTTTCAAAACCAAACATGTACTAAAGGTAACGCAACAGATGTAACAAAAACTATTTAAAAACTCGTTCAACTCATTTCCGGATTATCAAAATAGGTTTTTGGGATCAACAAGAGTGGTACGATAATATTCATTTTGTTATATCTAAAGAAGATATTTTATTCTAATTAAACTTTGACATCTTATGTCTTACATAAATATATAGACTTTATAACATATTTTCTTACGGTATTTTATTAGTTTGAAGCATAAGATGGTAGGTGCATATACACAATTTATTCTTTAAACTTACTTCTAACCTAGTGACGAGTATAATGAATCAAGATTAAGTGCCCAACCAGCGCACATATCATAATCTCAGAATTGACACCAACCTCATTATATGCAATGTCAAAAATCATTCTTCCCCATTGATTATGTGAATTTCAAGGCAGAAATGATAAAGAGTAGACTATTTAAGCCCTGTTTGTCATCCTTTAAAAAATTAAGCCCCCATTTGACATTCATTATCTTCTCATTCTCTTTCTCATTTTTTTCTCTTTCTTCATTTCAACCGCACATTCTATCAATAAAATAATATTACACATAAACCCAAAAATTCTTTTTACTTTTTAACCACACGTTCTTCTTATCAATCACTATTCCAGAATTTATTCTTCTCCAAAATGGGTATCAAACACACCCTAAATTGTTTGCTACAATATCATTTCTCCACCACACATTCACACAATAAAATATTCTACACTGCTCCCAGGGCATATCTTCCAGTGGCAAANGCACATCCTGCGATTTATCTCCTCCACAATGGCCCAGGGCAGGGTCGGTGGGGGGCCCTCAATGTTGGGATTCATCCTTTTTTTTAATAAAATATTCTACACACAAACTAATAAAGTTTTCTTACTTTTTAACCACACAATCTCCTAAAAATACTATTCCATAACTCATTATTCTCAAATAAATTCTATCAAACGGACACTTAGTATTATCACACTATGTGACCTTGGATTTAACCTTTCAACCTCAAGACATTACATGAAATAAGTAACTATTCACTTAAAATACGTGATAATATTACTAATGTATTATTATTACTATTTTGTTATCTCATGTGTAAAGTAATGATGTGGTTTCTTGACTATATTATATTAACACTAGTACATATATACTATTGTAAGGTGTCATTTATGCATATTGATTGTTTATATCGAGTATGAATTATTCTTAAAATCTAAAGAACTAAAATATTGACATTGGCTGGATAACTGCGGGTTACCTTGTGGTAGAACTAGCGAGGGATTTCCTCTCGTGTATGCTTGGTGGAGAAAAATCAAGAGAGAATTACATAACAATAAGCTATTTGTGTTAACACTTCACCTACCATATTTTTCAAATATTTTTATTCTCCAAAAGTCCAATAACAATTTCAATTTCATCTAAAAAAACTAAATCTTTTCTTCCTCGTTTATCTGTCCATTCATAAATTAATGTCTAGTCGAGTCTTCTCAGTGCGTCACTTACATAATTATTTTTCAGTTTATTTTAAAGAAAATTATATATTTTTATTTATTATATTTATATAATCTTTATGAAGCTTTTCTAGTAGGAAAACAAAAATTATCCACAGCAGTTATCAATAAAACAATACATGCATTCTTTAAGATTTTTTAAGTTGCAAAATGATCTCAACTTAAAATGAATAAAAAATTGGTTTTTAGCTACTAAGGACATGTTTGAGCCCCATTTTTGGTATAGAATGTATTTTGAAATAGTAGACTATTGAAGAATGTGTGATTAAAAATAATGAAAACTTTTGAATTTACGTGTAATATTATTTTATTGAAGAATGCGTGATTAAAAATAAAAAAGAAGAAAATATATTTTGAAAAAAAATGAAGCCAAACAATGGCTAAATAACAACTAATATTAAATATATTGGTTTCCAAACTCATAAAACTAGCTTGAACTTACCTTAATTTAAGAATGAGAGCTTACGATTCAATAGTCACTTCCAAGAGGATAGACTAAAAGATCACCATGTTAGTTCAACATATGAGTTCTACCAAGTTACATCAGCTCGTCCACGTTAGGTCACTCGACCATACCTGTCGTCATTTAGAAAACATTATCATTGCTTTATTGCAACTTGTGCCTTATCCATGACATCATTGATTCTCATATGATCATTCCCATAACAACACATGACACTCATTATGATTATCACTTACTTTCAACCAATCAAAAGTTTGCAATAATTACCCATCACCTGACATCATCATGAGCTAACCTCAAAATGGCCTATTAAGAATTAAGAAAGACATAGGCAAGGCACACAATTCAAGAAAATCATTATTGATAACTTATTTTTGGAGGCCAATTGGCTGTTTTGGGAGTTTATAAATATGACCAAATGTTTCCCCAATGAAAGGAAAGAAGGACATGCAATACACATTCTACAAGCTTTTTAATATAATTTTTTTTTTTTTAACTATTTTAACAACTTACCTCATACAAATTATCAATTAAGTTGACAAAGATTGACCTAATCATTTTTTTACGTCAACAGTATGGCGTTAGAATGAGGGTCTTGTAAGCAACAACCCTACATCTCTTATTAAAAAAAATCACAAAAAACTACATATCCAACCTGAAAAATCACAATGAGCAACAGTTCAACCTCCAGAAATTCAGCTCGAACTGACCCTCGTGACATAGGTGTTCCTTGCGAATTCCAAAAGAAAAATGATTCAACTGAAAATGTTAACCCACAGCTCGTTGCAATGAGAGATGCAACAAAACGTTTGACTAACACTGTTAGCTGAATGGAGAGAAACTATGTCCATACCTCTATTCTAGCAGATCTTAAGGTGGAATCTCCAGCTCGGGAAAGAACTTACTGACCTCCCACCAAGAAAAGTCTTCACTTCTTCGGTGAAGGTCATCTAGAAGTAGGACAAATAAGATAAAAAACAGTCTCCCTCCAACAGGAAGGACTCACAAAAAGCTGGAAGCATATTTGATAGAAGTGGAAAATGAAAATATCGTAATAATTTATTGGCTATATAATCACAAGCAAAGTGAAAGCAGATAGATATGTTTATTCTCAAATGAAAAATGGAATTTGCGCATAGGTATGGTAGGTGGTGGGAACTCAAATGCAAAGACTACAGCAGTTTTGCTTGCTACTACGTAATATTCCACTTCTAGTGAGAATCGTGCAACTGTGTGTTGTTTTTTGGATGACCAGTTGGTCTGAGTAACTCCAAATGAACACGATATGCTAACATTAATGTTCAATTATCAGTCTCTCAAGTCCAACGTTGGGTGTATTTACAAATTGAACATCCCTACAAACAAATACCATGGTGGAGTGTGCCTTTGAGGTAGCGAATGCCTCTTTTTACTCAAAGTCAATAAATTATCGACAATCTATATATGAACTATGTATAAGGAACAAGTATTGAGAATCCCTAATTAGGGCATCACAAGTAAAAAAAAGAGTTATCGTCGTTGTCAAGAATAACGGCGGGGTTATTGTCATTGTCAAGCCGATAAGGGTTGCTGGGGTGGCTAAAATTGGAATAGCAGTTGGGGTTTTTGGTGTGAATGGATGAGGCAACGGATTGGGAGGAAGAATCAGAGGAATTATCGTGCTGGCCTTCCATGGAGATTCTCTCTCAAGCTCTGATACCATGTAAGTTTCCAAAAAATAGAAAGATAATAAAGACATGGAAGCTAGAGAAAATCAACAAAGAGGGATGCAACTGTTCAGTGGATTTCAAAGAATTGAATCAAATATGTACAATGATGGTGTTCTTTTATACATACTTTTATAACAAAACTAACTGAAAAATATTCCTAAAAGAGAATTACAATATATATAAAAATGTATTTACAGAAAAATAAGGAATTAATAAGTCTATCCCTTTTCATTTGAGCAGCGTGCAGTGACTTCTTCTTAAATTTGGGCTACTGGCGTGGACTGATTGTGGGCTGTAATGATTTAGGATTGGGCTGGATGCATACTGTGTAATAGTTACTAAGAAAGAGGAAATTACACTAGACCAGGTGTTTACTTTTAACTTTCTAAAAATCAGGTTTTGACTTTTTTTATTGACAAAATTTGCCATGAAATTGTATTTCCTTGCTTGTGTCGCATCA